TCATATATTTGGAGTAAAGTTAAATTGAACGGATACATCAGTCATACAGCGCTCAGGACCATGCGCCCCATGACGAGCCTGACACACCGCCACAGAAACAAGGATGCGTTCTAACATAACTGTGGCGTTAAACTCAGTTAGTGAGGGCTCGGTTAAAATATTGCACATATATAGACCATTCAGATTACTTGTTAAAATTCAATGAAATAGCTTATATCAGCAGACGGTGTACGTCTGTGTTTGTGGTTGGAGATAGAGACCTACGCAGGACGGATTTTTCAGTCCCGCTCCCGCAGAAAAATATCTTATCTGGGCCCGCTCCTGCCCGCGACATTCATGTTTTGTCCTGCTCCCGCCCGCATAAAAGTAATCTATATAGATTTTTTTTTTCAGCACATCAAAGAACTTTTACATTAAATGGTTCTGTAGCATCTCACAACATCCCAGCATAAATACTCCCGATAAAATATTTGTTATTTAGGCTAAGCATCAACATTCACAAACCACTGTTATTTTTAACAGAAAAGCAAGCATGGGCTGCTGCGTGCATTGTTTGGCATGGCAGAATACGAGCAGCGCTTCCTTTTATTATCACTAAAAGCTGACATCTCAGTTCATCGTGATCTCAAAAAGCTCTGTTATAACACAATGAACATATGCACAATGAATATTTCACAATGTCTACACTTCGTGTGTTAAAATGAGACAATTCGTGAGCACGCAATTTCAGCATTGTGGTGAGTAGATTCTAACTTAATCACCTCTGGTTGGCCATTGCGTTCCAGAAATCAACAGCTCAGTCTATGATTGGCTACATTGCGCAACCCTTTAACGCAGAAAAATATCTTATCTGGGCCCGCTCCTGCCCGCGACATTCATGTTTTGTCCTGCTCCCGCCCGCATAAAAGTAATCTATATAGATTTTTTTTTTCAGCACATCAAAGAACTTTTACATTAAATGGTTCTGTAGCATCTCACAACATCCCAGCATAAATACTCCCGATAAAATATTTGTTATTTAGGCTAAGCATCAACATTCACAAACCACTGTTATTTTTAACAGAAAAGCAAGCATGGGCTGCTGCGTGCATTGTTTGGCATGGCAGAATACGAGCAGCGCTTCCTTTTATTATCACTAAAAGCTGACATCTCAGTTCATCGTGATCTCAAAAAGCTCTGTTATAACACAATGAACATATGCACAATGAATATTTCACAATGTCTACACTTCGTGTGTTAAAATGAGACTATTCGTGAGCACGCAATTTCAGCACTGCTGTGAGTGGATTCTAATTTAATCACCTCTGGTTGGCCATTTGCGTTCCAGAAATCAACAGCTGAGTCTGTGATTGGCTACATTGCGCAACGCTTTAAACACGTGTTATAAATAGAAACTCTGCCTAGCTTGCGCGTGTTAATCATTTTAATGTTATTAGTTGTTCTTTTTGCTTTTGTGCAACACATAAATAACAATTTATATGTTTTAGACATTTTATGTTTAGATCATTTCTATTTTGCGGGAGTCCCGCAAATCATTTTATTCTCCTGCGTCCCGCACACACAGAGTCTCTTCACGCCCACACCCACACTCGCCCATCAAGAGCTGTCCCGCGCCGCACCCTGTTGCGTTGGGTCCCGCGGTACTCCCGCGGGTGTGCAGGTCTCTAGTTGGAGACTCCTTCACCAGCTACAGGCTCTAAACCTCATTTGCGCAAGTGTGAAATGTGGTGCTGAAGTGAAATAGCTGGGCAATTTGATAATAATAATAATAGCCGAATTATAATAGGCCACCTAATAATAATAATAATTTGATGCATTTACAGGAGAATGAGCCTAATATCGTCTTTACTATCGACAAAGACATGTGCTATCGTCAATATCTCTGACTATCGTCGATACACGATACTATCGTCTATCGGCACAACCCTAGTTCACATCATCCAAACGAACCGAACTCTGACGTCAATCGAACCCGGGTGCGCACCAAAAGTGCTAGTGTGAAAGCACCCTAATATGGAAACTCCTTTATATATTAACACTACATTGGCGCCCTGTTCTTACAGACTTTACTTAATGTACTATGTGCTGATTTGGTGTTCAAAAAACGTTTTTTATTGTTGTCAATGTAGAAAACGTTAATAATTTTGTGGAAACAACTTAATATTTTTGTGATTACATTTTTTTCAGGATTCTTTGAATAGAAAATTATTTGCAACTAAAATCTTTCTGTAACATTATAAATGTCTTGACTGCCATTTTTGATGTTCATTGTTGACTTCTGATTACTTTTGATAGTCTTTAAAAGAAAAAAATGTTACTGACCCCAAACCTTTGAACGATAGTATTCAACTGGAGTTTGGCTTTTAAGAGCTCTGGTTAGTTTTACTTTTCAAAGGTTTTTGGGGAGGTTAAGTTTATGTATTTTAAAGCTGTTTTTCCTTTTTCTTGGCCAAATGTCAAAATCAGATGTACCTCGACATCCTGTGCAATATAAATTTCATCCCTTCATGCTAAAATACAGCTTTGATATCACACTGTGAGGGTCTTCAATGAGTTACTTTAGAAGCTCTCTGAAAAGTTTTAATTTCTCTGGGGCTTTCAAATTGCCTGTTTAGGTTGTGGCGCGCATTGTTCGATGCATTTATAAAACACCACTGTGGGTTGTACTGAACGACCATATGGAGTTCCATAACATTGTTACAACCTAATTGCCCTCTTCGACAAGTGCCAATTTTCTTCAAGAGGCAGGAGAGAAAAGAGCAGACGGGCGAGAGGCGCGTTGACATGCGTCAAACTCCTCCCTGCAGATGGATCAGGCTGTGGTTGGGGCCTGAGATGAGAAGTCTCCCTGGGTTTGCTTTGCCGTGTTGGCCTTGTTAGTTCGTCCCATCTCCCTCAGCATTAGAGCAGCCTGCTGGAAAGACCTGGCTCTAATTCCACTAGCAGATCAATAACCATCAGCGGTTTTGGGCTGCTGGCTTGGTCATGGGATGCTCCACCCCCCACCTCCCCAGCTCACCCTTGTGGGATGAGGGTCGTTTTGTTTAGAGGTCATTTTCACTATGAGCTTGTGAACTGTGTCTCAATTGATTCTCAATTGGTTCTTGTCTGTGTGGAGTGAGTGGGTTAGGATGGTTCGATGCACATTCTTTTATTCAAAGAGTATAGAAATGTTACCCACATTTCCAAACAGTTTTTTTCTGTATACTCTTGTACTCCTCAGTAACAGTTGAAAGAGTTTGATAAATCTTATACTCTTGTAAATTTTCATTCTGACAGAAGACATTTGGCCCGTATGATTGGGTAAAATATGTGACATAGCAGTCTGACAAATTAAGTTATTCATTCTTTTGTGATTTAAATTAAGCAAACATAAAGGCCCATCAAGTCTAGTACTGAGAATCAGCCACTGTTTGTATTACTGCTGCTGTAGCCTGATCATTTGCTGCTCTGCATAGCTGTGTCCTACACACACACACACACACACACAGGTTTGTTTTTATGGTTTATGGGGACTCTCCATAGGCGTAATGGTTTTTATACTGTACAAACCGTATTTTCTATTGCCCTACACCAACCCTACCCCTAAACCTACTCTCACAGGAAACTTTCTGCATTTTTAGATTGTCAAAAAAACTAATTCTGAATTATTTATAAGCCTTTTGAATTACGGGGACACTGAAAATGTCCTCATAAATCACCTTCTTGCTGTAATACCTATGTCATACCCATGTTATTATACAAATTTGTGTCCTCATAAACCACATAACACACACACACACACACACACACACATACTAGTCTATAAAGACTGCTGGAAAATTGCCTCCTTGTTTGTGTGGTGTAGCGTGGCTCTTATGGAATTCTAACTTGTCAGTGGTGCTTTAGTTACATTTACTACAGGGGGGAAATCTCAAACAGTTTAGGAAACTGGATCATTTGGGTCGATTTGAATCTCTTCTGCTATGTTTTTTATTCCTTTCAGAGCAGAAGAATATTTAGAGTCTCTAAATAATCACCTACTAGTGCTGTATATTGTAATAAACCACATAACACACACACACACACACACATACTAGTCTATAAAGACTGCTGGAAAATTGCCTCCTCTTGTTTGTGTGGTGTAGCATGGCTCTTATGGAATTCTAACTTGTCAGTGGTGCTTTAGTTACATTTACTACAGGGGGGAAATCTCAAACAGTTTAGGAAACTGGATCATTTGGGTCGATTTGAATCTCTTCTGCTATGTTTTTTATTCCTTTCAGAGCAGAAGAATATTTAGAGTCTCTAAATAATCACCTACTAGTGCTGTATATTGTATAGGAGTGGGAGGTATGATCAAAATGTTAATGTTATTACATTATGAGCCATTTTATATCATGGTACAAATGTCACAATACAGTTATTTTTGCTTTAAATTCAAAAAATGGCTTGTATTTTAAATAACCCGTTGGTAGTAACTATTTTTGAATAATTCACTATATTAAATGAAGATTTTAATATTTACTAATTTTATTTGGAGCTTAATGGATTAATAATAGCTTAAAAATAATAATAAAACCTGAGCAATAAATACAAATAATACAATTAAAAATAAATAATATAATTTAAATAAGTAAAAATAATATCTAATATCAAGATATTATTCATGTATACTTTCAATGCCTTGTAAGTTGCTTTGGATAAAAGCGTCTCCCAAATGCCTAAATGTAAATAATAGATTGATTATAAGTTTGGCATCAGTCAAAAACAGGTTCACATCATACATCTTGTAGGAAACACTGACTGAACAAGAGTCAACTTGAAACGCGTACTGTAAGCACGCTAAATGATTGGAAAAGTCCTGCATACGTCACCAGAGAGAAGTCTGTCATTGGCATTATGATTCATTTACAGGGTCAAAACATTGGAAAACACATGCACGAGTGAATTGTTCACAATAAGATCTATAACATGTACTGAAAATGTTTATTTTCCTTTCATGCCGACTTCAATAAAACATGAAGGATGACATGTATGTTTTGAGGCTGAATTCTGATTGAATTCTAAACCATTATTAAGGTGACGTTAAAAGCCTTGCTCCTTAGGATGCATTTGAATTAGTGTAACACTGTTTTAATGTGCTTTCTCAGTGCTGTTCTCGACATTGCTCTGCTGTTTATCGCTCAGACCCTCAACTGCTTAAACTGTGCTCTGTTTTAAGCTGGAATGCACCAAAATGAAAATTCTGGATGCACTTGGCCGAAAACCAAAATTGCGACTGCTTAACACTGCCGGGTAGTGTGGCGCGCCATATATTTTTGGCTCATATTTTCGACCGCTTTTCTCTTTCGGGCCAAAAAACGAAAATGCCGTTTTCTACCGATAATTTTCGGCGGCCGTAATTTCGGTATATCCCTAGTTTTAAGCCTTTTCTGCACCAGTGCCAATTAATGTGCATGTGTGTTGGCCGCATCTCCTCTAGATGCTCCCAGGGGCCCGAGGGTCCGGGGCTATTTGCAGAGGTACCAGTCACACTCTGCTGCACAGGCCGGCTGTTAAACCAGACTCAGTCCACTCATCAGAGTTTAGACCTACAGCCAGCACAACAGAACGGACATGCATGATTGCATGATTTCCATTGCGATGGGAAAAATTTGACGTTTTCTGAAAACTCGAAATACAATGAAAATGGGGTATTTGTGCATAATGAAGCAGTAAATATCATGAAAATGAGATATATAGTCTCTGTTTTTGCTAACAGTTCCTCTGCTAGTTAGGTACAGACACAATTGAATCTTAAGGGAGATTGTTAGGAACCGTGCCATGCCGTTGCTCAATTCTCTGAGCTTGTTCTCCAAGGACACTCAAAACCCTTTGCCTACATACCTACATGGATGGCTGACCGACTTTAATCCCTTTGTTATTTTTGCCAATGTCACACAGAGGTCACCCTGGTTACTGTGTGATTGTCTCACCATCATGGTCCACCACCTCGATTTCTTTATTTCCCTTCATGGTCCCAGAGATTGCGCTGAAGTACAGAGTCATATTTAGCATTTATTTAAGAAGATTGTGGCACTTGGGGGGAGGCAGAGCAATGGGCCGCCGATGGCCGGCCGGATCAATACAACACAATTGAGTTCTCCATTCTGAGAGACTAGGTGGCACTTACGGGGTGATCGCCTCTGATGAAGACTTTATTAGCCTCTATTGACAGATTCATTTGTGATCCCACTCCCTTCATCGCCCCCACTTCACTCCAGACCCCCTCTTCCACTGTAAAGTAATATAGTCTAAGCCCACCTTTAAAAGTTTCAGGGGTTGATGAAACTTGTTAACAGTGGAGTTATTTTGTCCTGTGCTTTCGAAGCTTCGCGAATGTTTCTTCGACTTGATTTCAAAGTAACTTTGGTTATTCTTCTGCCATCCACAATTTTTTTTCCTTTTTTTGTGAACTCTGGTTAAGTGGTAAGCACTTGAGACCCTTGTTATCAGATCTGCAGCACCGACAAAGAGTTTTCACTGCAGGAACGACGCATTACTGAGCTTTCCCCCTTGAGAATTCAAAGAAAACGTCAAGTTCCCCAAAGAAAGTGTGCGAGAGAAGATCTGCTTTTGGAAGCGAGTCTAGAAGCAACCTGGCCATGGATAAGACGAAGTGTGGAAATTTTCAAGTGATTTTATATTTTATCTCCAAACAAGCCACAGGCGTATTAGATATCACAAGCTAATACTTGTGCTCTCTGTAAAATTGGCTGAGGCTGGAGTCGGGCTTTGAAGTCACGAGTTGTTTTTTTGCGTCAAAGTAACTGTTCGGGGGAACCCTAATCCGCCCAGTATTGCTATGACACCCGCAGCAGGTTTTCGTGACTCCACTAATTTTTCCATTGTTATTTTACCTGGTTTGTGTTTTGTAACCCTCGCCCCCTCTCTCAGGCGTTCTCAGAGGGGCTGTTCCTCGCGCCCGGGTGGATTGGCCCGGGGTGCTTTCCCATCCACAAATAAAGAGCTCGGCGGAGATAATGAAGTATGTTGCATCCTAGGCTGCAGCTGTGTTTTGTTGGCTCTGTTAGATTAAGGCTTTATGTGTGGTGGACTCGGCTTATTTCTTATAAAAGCTCATCAATAAACTCAGTGCCCCAGGCCTAAATTTGTTTCGTGCAACTGGCCGTTTATTTTCTTGGTCTCTGCTATTCTCTTCAGAAATTACTGTATGGGACACACTGTGCAGAATGTATCTAATTTTTGACCTTAATATAAGCATGTCTTATGATCTTTTAGTACAAGTACTATACTTTGATCGTATGTGTATTGGATTCAATACGGTGTTAATGTTTTATAGGTTTATTGGTTTCACTGTAAAAAAAAAAATGTAAAAAATGAGTATTTTTACTAGTATTAGCATTTTTATTAGTATTTTGAGTATTTGTTTTAATAAATGTTGATGGTTCATTCTCACTGTAATTCATTGCATAAAACGCTTTGTGATCAGTGCAAACAAAGTTGATCCTTTTTTCATGTGGACCTGTTTTTTTACCCTGCAAAGCCTGGCATTAGAAAAATCAACATTCTTTTAAAATATGCAACAGTTTATCGAACCTTTAGACAAAATCTAATTTGCGTATGTGTTTTTAGTATTTGATTAACCATGCTATTATGGCTAGAACGATAAAAAACCCCCCAGTTTTCAGTTTTGTTCAGAAGCCCGATCTGAGCAAAACTTTGTAATTTGCTACAGTTGCTGATAATCAAAAAATAAGATAATTTTGATAGATTATAAAATTTCTGATAATATAAATCAGTGACATAACAGTGTAGCAGACTACTTACATAAAATGTATATAAATGTTAGTTGTCACGCTTTATCTCCCATTTATTTGTCTTATTTAAATTTATGATCAAATCTCTGTAGTTTTTATTGTGGAAGGCAAAACATATAATGCAATGCAATGTAACACAGTGCTTGTTGAGAGATGTACAAATAAACATTTCCTTAAAAGCCTGAACATGTCTGTGATGAGGGAGTCTCACTTTACTTGAATAGAATTATAGCATTACTAAAAAAAAAATACATTTATCAATAGCGGGAAGGACCAGAAAAGTACTACTCTGTTTCTAAAAAGTGGTATCGTTGCATCTCTAATGATGAGAGAGAGGCTTTATTTTTCCCAGCAGCTGTTGCTTCAGCGGGCTCGCAGCAGAGTCCTCCCACCCCAGCCAGTTCAGTCATTTTCATTAATGCTAAATCCTACATCCTACACAGCTGCTTTAAACAAGAGCTTTTGGAAACAGAGTTGTAATAAGATACCCAGATCTACCAAGGTGAATAAGAAACAGCCCTCGCTTTCCTCGTTCCCTGGCTCTACCTTTCTGTCCTGTTGCATCTTTTGCATATGCATGCACACAGGTTTGTGATTTCAGTCGTGACACACCTCTCATAAATCATTGTTCATGTATACTGTATGTCACAAAATGATTCTTAGCGATTGAATAATTTGTCCAAGCTGAAAATAGTAACTGACTAGTATCTCATTCGTCATGTGTTTATGTCAGTAGGTTGAATTGCTCTCCTCTGACCTAAAAACTTCTCTTTTGTCATTCCAGATCTTTCTGATGTGGAACCCAATGTGTTTCTTAGACCTTTTCTGGAGGTGGTCCGCTCAGAGGACACAACTGGACCAATCACAGGCCTTGCTCTCACATCGGTCAACAAGTTTTTGTCATATGGCCTGATAGGTAGGTTTTTATTATGCCTATGAAACGATGCTTGTTGTTTATTCATCCAGAATACCAGATAACAAATCAAATGTACTTAAGCATGATTATGAACACATTTTAAATATACTGTACACTACCGTTCAACAGTTTGGGTCAGTGAGATATTATTTATTTAATTAATGAATGAATGAATGAACTTTTATTCAGTAAGGGTGCGTTGAATTGATCAAAAGTGACTGAAAATATATTTGTTACAAAGGATTTCGATTTCAAATAAATGCTGGTCTTTTGAGCTTCCTATTCATCAAATAATCCTGAAAAAATGTATCACGGTTTTCACAAGAATATTAAGCAGCACAACCATTTTCAGCATTAATAATAAATGTTTCAGTTATTTTAATTTGCAGTGATGTTTTGCATTATTACTGTTTCTCTATTTTTGATCAAATAAATGCAGCCTTGGTGAGCATAAGAGACTTCTCTCAAAAACATTTTACAGACCCCAAACTTACAGTAGTGTATATAAATATTAATGCATATTAGCCTAAATATTGGTAACTTGAAACCAATAGCTCACCTAAAAATAAAAAAGCAGTCTTTATTTTGCCCTTCCAAACCTGTCTGCATTTCCTTCATCTGTGAAGCACTAAAGAACATTTTAGCAGCTGCTTCATACATTGAAAATGAATGATGACCAGGGGCTGTCAGACTCCAAAAATTACAAAATTATTAAATTATTGATAATTATTAATTAGTATTCTGAAAAAAAGAAGGTAACAAACAGCATATCTTGTTTGGAACGTGAGGATTTTAGGTAGAATGCATTTTTGAACCCCTTAAATGGTCTTCAGTTTATTATTATTATTCTTTTTAATTTATATAGTTTTTTACACCTTAACTCATTAATCATAAACTCTCCAGAGAGTAGCTTATTGGTCAATGTTAACAACACATTTTTACTTTACTGAGTGCACTTCTCAGTGGTGAAGTCCTGATGTAACTTGACCAGAGTCACTGTTCCTAATGGGTGGACTATTTTCTCACTGACGCAGGAGAGCTTGTTTTGCAGCAGTTGTAATCAGCACAGACTGTCCTCTTTCTTGTTAGGGAAATATGGCCAAATGCCGCCAAAGTGTGAAACCAGCACCCTGTTCAAGATACAAGCCGTCTCTAATTTTTGAAAAATACTATGACGGCAGTTGTCAAGCAGCTGTATGGTTTGCACAACTGAAAGATGGTTTCACAAATGTTAAAGGTGCTCAAACCCATAACGTATTATAGCACAGTTCCAGAATCAGTGGATTTCTGTGATGTAGAGATTTTGTCTAGTTAATTTTTCTACATTGAACATTGAATCTGGGAATAAAGATCTATTTTAAACCTGGAAATAAACATAGTTTCAAGGTTTAGAAAAATGTTAAACAAAAGCAATGTTATGACTTAAAACCAAAGAAGACTTAAGATTCTACACTATTACACTATTATTATTTTTGGTCATTAGTCAAATGAGTAAATGTGTGACACTGAAAGAAATGACAAAAGTAAATAAATAAATTAGACCATAAAATAGCTGTACTTTTACAGTTTTACCGGAAGTTAATCGTATAGATTTCCATTGGAATGCAATAGACGCAGACACACAGATGAAATAAATGAATCCCAGACATCGTGAGAGCTCCAGTCACCCCAGATGCACCATTGTTCCTAATCAGCCATGATGCCAGCATCTCGTCAGGAAGCTCAGGTTGCTATGGCTAAACCGGGTCTCTCTTTTCATCTAGGATAAGGCATAGTAATCACACGCTTACATTTCCTAGAGTACAAATTAAGTCATGCTTTCATACAGTACTAGCAGCAACGCACCTGCCGTAAATATTGAATTTTTTTTTAAAGCAACTCAGTGTGCTTATTTAAAAAAAAATGCTATTGGCTTAATATTCTTTCAGGTTAGGCAAATACTGTATGAATTGAAAGAACACAATGCCAGCCTACATGCAATCGGGCTGTTTTTTGAGTAACACGCAGAATGTAGACCTTTTTTTTCCCAACAGAGCTTCAACCCTCTTTCTCGCACACATTTATTTTTCTTCTCTCTCACACATGCGCAGAGCTGTGCTAATCCCAGGTGAGCACTCCTGACGAGCGTGACATATTAATGCACTCGTATGAGTGTGTGATTAAATGACCTTTAGAGGCTGTGTGCTGACTGATGGGTTATGCTCATTCAGACTGCACTGATTTGCCATGAAGAGTGACATTATCATTACTCCCAATTAGCATTCTGTAGACATACAGTACAGCCACACGCTATAGGTCTTGTAACAGCTCTGATTGATTCACAACTTGTTGTGATACAGGGCTCTTAGCTTTGGATGTTGGTTATAGACTGTAATTGATCACTGACTCTTCAGATGTTTCAGATAGGGTTTTATTGTATGCTTTGTGTGGATGAGATGCTGAAGACCAACTTTATACTCCTGGGAACTAGCAAAAAAAATAAATTATATATATATATATATATATATTGTCATCATTAATAAATGCTTATATTAATTTATAATAATGATGATTGATGTGTGGACTAATAATATGTTGATACATATATAATACATATATTTATTTATTTAGAGTTTGAAAATCTTTTTTTTAAATTTCATTAAATACATTGGGACTCTGTCCTAAATACACTGAATATTATTTCCCTAAACACTGAAATCATTAATATCTAAATATACCTGAACCTAAGTATGCACATATATGCTGGACTATGATATGAAATGCATTACATAAACTTTTATTTTAGTTGATATATCATCGTCCTAATTTTATTTATATATGAAAAAATGTGTGTTCTCAATTTAATATATTATTATAAATTATTTTTAGTTTTGTATTAATTAATACGATATTGAATTAATGTGTTATTGTATTAAAATGTGCAATACAACAAAACTGTAATAATAAGAGTAGTAACTTAGAATATCTCCTATTACATTGAAATTTTATTATTTTGTTTTTATACTATTTTTATACTCCTCAACTTTAAAAAAATTCAGTAATTGTTTGCTCAAATGTGTATTTTCAAGACAAAATGCAAAAATCAAGTTTTCATGTCCAAACCCTTAAACTTTTGGTTTCTCTGAAAAGACCAGGATGTCTTCTGTAAGATGCATGCATAGTCTTGACAAAACCCAAATGTTCTCTACAGTGGACAGAAGTGAGTTGCTAGTCCCGTGAGGTTACTAAAGTGTCTTTGGAGAGTGACTGTTCAACTCAAAGCCTTGACAGTACTGTACAGAGACAGAATACTGCCATCTATTGGCCAGACACATGAATGCAGTGATCTTTAGTACATTTTGTGTTGGTCCCCATAGAGCAGGGATAGGCAACATCGGTCCTGGAGTGCCGATGTCCTGCAACGTTTAGCTTCAACCATGAAAAAAAGCCTCACTGGACATATGCTATATTTTTGCCAGATTGGCGCCCATGCACACCTGGTTTAGGGGTTAATGCAGGCTCCCTTTTCTGCGATGAGCAGTTCTTTCACTTAAGGGACACTCTGGTGTCTGAATGTACTTTTACTTAACCTTTTAGTACACGACAGCTGTTTGAACCTCTTTGATACTCTCATACACATGCACAAAGACCCTCCAGCCCCACCCAGACTTCAGTTATTTCAACAATGACTCTCCCGCTTGGCTGTGTAGACCGTGCCAAGTGAGGATTAGTATTTTAGATGACTTCTGATGTTGTGCTGAATAGACCGTGGCTCTGGTTTCCGTGGAAATGGGCTGTTTGGAAGGGGGTCCCGTGTTTATTGTGAGCCCGCCTCTTCATTGCTGTTCAGTTCACTCATAGATTTTCACTCAAAATGTAGTTGTTCAGTCACTGTGCCAAATCAGTGGGTTATTTACCTCTATAAACAGTAATTTGTTAAAGTAGTATCCTGTTGTTTAAAACATTTAAGTGTTTTGATTTTACAAAGCATTTGTGTTGTCATATACCACATAACTAGTAATCAAATAAGCTATAAGGTACCGTACAGTAGGCCATGTGATATTGTAAATGTGTATTTATATTCACCAAAGCTGCATTTACTTAAATACAGTAAAAACAGTCGTTTTGTGAAATATTATTACAAATTAAAATAACAGTCCTCTACAGATTTTCAGCATCATTACTCCAGTCTTCAGTGTCACGTGATCCTTCAGAAGTCATACTAATATGCTGATTTGACGTGATTTTATATTTTTGTGGAAACAATGAGGCATTATTTCAGGATTCTTTGATGAATCGAAAGTGGAAAAGAACAACATATTAAAAAAAATAATAATTGTAACATTGTAAATGCCTTTATACTTTGTCACTTTTGATCATTTTATTGCATTTTTTCTGAATAAAAGTATTCATTTGTATATATATAAAAAAAACTTTTGAACTGTTGATATACTTTAATATGTCTTTGGGGTTTATATATATATATATATATATATATATATATATATATAGCAATTCAATTTAAATGCACATTGTTCTTTAATAGTTCTCTGTGTTTGACAGCGACAAAACAGGCAGGCTCTTGTAGTAAAGCTCGAAAGTGTTAGCAACAGTAACATGGGCAGGGCTTAACGGAGAGTCAACACCACACAATCTCCTCAGTGGTAGAAATGATCTTCAGATTTCTACTGGCTTCAACCAATATATTGCCCTCCGGTTTAATCACTGGGCAATTATTAAAGAGTTTGGTGATTTGAAGCCCTTCTCCAGACCTTAAAGGATTAGTTCACTTCAAGAATAATTTCCTGATAATTTACTCACCCCAGTGTCATCCAAGATGTAAAGAAATTAAGGTTTTTGAGGAAAACATTCCAGGATTTTTCTGCATATAATGGACTTCAATGGGGACCAACAGCTCAATGCAGCTTCAGGGGGCTCTACACGATCCCGTCCGAGGAATAAGGGTTTTATCAAGCAAAACGATCGGTCATTTTCTTAAAAAAAAAAAAAATGTATGTACTTTTTAACCACAAAAGCTCGATTTACACCAGCCAGACCTCACACATTATGTAATCATGTTGGAAAGGTCACGCATGACATATGCGGAAGTACCGACCCAGTGTTTACAAAGCAAACATGCAAAGAAAGTCAAACGCCCTTTACAAAAAAAGGTAAAACGACGCTGTCGGACGATTTTGAAGTTGGAGGAGAAAATGAGATGGAGTTTTTCACCTTACCCTACCTTTTTGAACCGGAGTACACAGACGAAGAACTAACAACGTGTGACCTTTCCAACGTGATTGCATAATGTGTGAATTTGTGGACCCGCATAGCAGAGCTAGTGTAAGATGTGCATTTGTGGTTAAAAAGTATATACGTTTGGCAAGAAAAGACCCCTATTCCTCGGCTGGGATCGTGTAGAGCCCTTTGAAGCTGCATTGAAACGGCAATTTGGACCTTTAACTTGTTGGCCACCATTTAAGTCCATTATATGGAGAAATGTCCTGGAATGTTTTCCTCAAAAACCTTAATTTTTTTGCTACTGAAGACAGAAAGACATGAACATCTTGGATGACATGGGGATGAGTAAATTATCAGGACATTTTTATTCCGGAAGTAATCTAATCCTTTAATACCAATGTGGGTTTCACTCAGAGTTCAGAGTAAACTCTCTCTCTCTCTCTCTCTCTCTCTCTCTCTCGTCTGCTAATAAGTGGAATGCGCTCTTGTGTCAAGGCTTTACCTGCAGTCACAGCCCCTGGCAGCCTGTGCTTATTAGTTAATGAAATGCTCTTTAGAGGCGATGGGAAAGAAAAAGCAGCCTGGCTCCAGCCTGTTATCTGGCCCTGCTTGGGTTTCAAAACATCATTGCCTAGACAGCCAATTTACCAGGCCGTCCACAAAAGCACACACATCTGGTGATTAGATGTCAGATGGCTGTTCGACGCTCGTCACATGGAGCGTGGTCAGTTGATAGCGATGTGGGGGTTGAACCGGTGACCAGGTTAATTGTGTAAGATTAATCATATAACCATGGTTTGTCATTATGACCCACGTACAACTTATCTGGCTGAGAATCAGGAGCATTAATGAGAGAGTGAGGGGGAATATATTAGGATATTCTTAGTTTTTTAAATTTTACCGTCCCTGTCCTCCACAGATGCCAATCATGAAGGGGCAGCGGAGGGCATCGAGAATATGGCAGACGCAGTCACACATGCGAGATTCGTGGGCACCGACCCCGCTAGTGATGAGGTGGTGCTGATGAAAATCCTCCAGGTAACACGCTTATCAAACAGCAAATAAATATTAAAAAATAACTAACAAATAAATAAACATGTACACTACCATTCAAAAGTTTGAGGTTGGTAAGATTTTTTTTAAAATAATGATATACAATATTAAGCAGTTGTACTGCTTATTATTTTTGTGAAAATCATGATATTTTTTTCAGGTTTTTTTAATAATTAGAAAATTCTAATGAATTTGAAATATACATTTTTTTTGTAACATTTTAAATGTCTTATATTGTCACTGTTAAACAATTTCATGCATCCTTTGCCGAATAAGCAGGGGTGTGAAGTAACGAATTACAAATACTCACGTTACAGTAATTAAGTAGTTTTTATCAGTAATTGTACTTTTTTGAGTAGTTTAAAAATTGTGTGCTTTTACTTTTACTTGAGTACATTTTAAGTGATGTATCGGTACTTTTACTCCGCTATTTCCCCCTGTTTGTGTTCGTTACATGCTTATTTTAATTTTATTTTTATCCATCAGCGTGATTGGATAGAGAGAAATAGGTCTCGTGACTTTCGTCAAATCAAATTGTGCATAGAAAACTTTAACCCGCCAACTGTTTATCATGGCTGCTGGAAGTGCATTCTTCAAGCATCAATTCAGTCGCTTCTTCCTCTAACTTAATATGTTAAGGTAAGTTTCGGATTTCTGCTAACTAAATGATTTGTATATATGCTTGCCTATCTACACGGCCTGAAATTTGGTGTGAGGTTGCGGATATTGCATACAGTGTTAACTCCCGCAAGTGCCACGTTCGGTAAATTCCCATTCGCTTATGAGACGTGCGACCTGCGCTGCCTCGTCTCTCTCTCGCATGCGTTCTGCAGCAGTCACTTGGATAAGTCGTTGTTGCTTGTGGAACTTGTTGACTTTTGATGAGTTTGAGCGCGTGATGCATGCTGTGAAAAAGTGTGTTGGAAACACAAATTGAGGACCAAATCTGCACCTTATTGATGACCCGTGGCAATATACTGCATCTGTGCCAGCGCGTGATGTAATAAAACTGCAGCTCGTTAATAAACGTTTTTTTAAAAAAAAATCCATTTTATACAATCCGCCTTCATATAGAAAGTGCGCTCGCGCATAAACAATTTTCAAGTTCAACACTTTTTGTTCCATTCAGTTGTGGATGCTGCTGATTCACCGAGACCGCCACGGCTCAGCAAAGAGACATACGTGTGTGTGTGTTCCTTTTCCCCCAGAAATACCTCGCTATTTAATGCATTTTTCCTTACAAATTGTATTATCAGCATAACGATTTGAGTAAATGTGTAAAAGGTATGGCATGAATTTGCCGTCCTTCTAGCTCAATGTGCATTTATGTTAAAATTGTAACATAAATTATCAAGTTTAGTTATTTGTTTCCGTGCTGTTTTGATGTATTTTAAAGAGTTGGCAGTCAAAATTAAAACTGCTGGATGATAGATACTCTTCATTCTTTATGACAAATAAGATAATGTGAATTACAGAATGTACAAAGTTTTTAAAATGTGTCAATTGCGGTGTACAGCGTTTATTATGAGGGGGGTAGAATCCACAGCTCAGTGCTCACTACTCAATACTCATGAGTACTTTTAAATAGGCTACTTTTTTACTCTTACTCGAGTAGTTTTTTGGACAAGTACTTTTACTCTACTCACACTACATTTTTGGAAGGTAATGGTACTTTTACTTGAGTATATTTTTTCAGTACTCTTTCCACCACTGCGAATAAGTCTTACTTTCTTTCAAAAAATCTTATTGACCCCAGACTTTTAAGCATTAGTGTATATATAACAAATAATATTTGTACTTATAAAATAATATTACACCGTATTAAAACTCTGAATAAGAATCCGAATAAGTGGCTTCAGTACAAGATTTTTTTTTTCATCATTGTTATTACTGTTATTATTTCCAGGTTTTAAGGACTTTGCTGCTGACTCCAGTTGGAGCCCATCTGACCAATGAGTCTGTTTGTGAGATCATGCAGTCCTGTTTCCGAATATGCTTTGAAATGAGATTAAGTGGTAAGTGAAATTAAGTGAAAACTATATAAAAAATAAAAAAAGTCTTCCTTGAATTTCTTTGTGCTTTTCACTTTTCTGCACCATCTCAGCTGGTAGAGCATGGCTCTTGCAATGCCAAGATCATAAGTTTGATTTCCAGGGAAAAATTTATACTTTAAGCGCGCTTTGTATAAAATCTAAATGTTGCGCATTCCTTGAACTTTTCAATATGTGAATCTGCCTCCTGTGCTCTCAGGATTGTGATAAACCTCTGCTCTAATCCTGACCAAACAGAGTCTAGTCTCTGAGCCCCCGAGGTGCTGCTCTTGTCCTCGGGACTAACATTTCCTTTTCTTTCTCTCTGGTTTTGCTCTTTTCTCATCACAGAGCTGCTGAGAAAGTCAGCTGAGCACACGCTGGTGGACATGGTGCAGCTGCTCTTCTCCAGGTAACTAGAAAGAGAATGGAAGAGGGGATGTAGAGATGGGGATTAGGAACAGAGACATGTTCTTGCTGTTCACATAATCAAACCGAACCTGAGACCAAACACAACAGGAACTGGGTCTGTCTCCATAACGGGCTCCGATTTCACTCTCAGGCCTCTCTCAATTACCTCCGGAGGTTTCCGACTACCCCCTCACACACATACAAGGACAGGTGAAAGCATCAGTCTCTGACAATGCGAAGTATGGCTAAAAACCAGGCCCACACAGAATCTGCTGCTGTGTATTCAGGGCCGTTTCTAGCCAATTTGACGCCCTAGGCGAAATCCCTATTGGCATAAAAAGAAACCAATGCAGCTACTTAATCATTTGCTACTCGTTAACGTCACCTTTAAATAACGCAACGCTCTGCCCTCTATGACGCTGCTCCTATTAAGGGCTGTTGGAAGTGAATGAATTGATTCAGCATTTCGACACCTCCGTAAGGATGCATTTAACTCGACAAAGCGGTCTAATAAAGGATCTATTGATCTTGTGAATTAGCGAATTTTACTATACAAATATTTTTTAATTGGATGTTAAAGTTTATATGGGAATATTACATGACACGCTGATCCTTTAACAATGCATTGGC